TTTAAAGAAGATTCAGGAAAGAAAGATAAGAAAGGGCAGTGGCAAGTACATTAGAGGGTAAGGAAGGGAAAAAAGATGTGTCATTTCTCTTGTTGCTTTGCTCCAAACTTGAAAAGTTCAATAAATGAACATCAAACACTAACTTATTTTAGGGATTAACCAGTTACTGCTCATCGAATCTGATCATTTTGACCTTATTCTTGAGAAATCTTTGTTTTAGACTCAGAATCTCTGGTATCCACAAGATAGTTCCATGCCACTTGGAATGACTTGCCAAGTGTTTTGAGGGAAGGACCATCTCAAGGCAAACTGTAAACAGCTTAAGTTTGTTTGACAAATTGGATCTCCCGGTCTGCCTGCTTCTCAGTATCATGAACCTTTCTAAAACTCAAGGTTTTACAAACTTTGTTGTCAAGTTCATTTTAAAAAATGAGTTAATTTTTAAGAAATGTGTTAATTCTGAAAAGCAGCACATAGAGGCTTTGAGCATGGACTTTGGAGTATTTACATAAATATTGCCATAGCATATTTTGCAATAAAGCATTGAAAAATCTCAAATTTCTTTCAATCACAGATTGGTCAAATTAGGATATCTCCTTTACAATCAAATGCTGTATAGCTCTTAAAAATGATAATGTTATATTCTTTGGAAGAGATATTACAAAACAGCTTGTGTATCATGATCACATTTTTGTTACACCCAAAAGATTTTAGCTCTCTTTTCCTTATTTCTATATTTGCTAACTTTAAAAAGTAAGGTTATACTATATTTATTAGAAAAGGACAGTATGCTATTTTTTTTGAGAAGGAGTTTAGCTCTTGTTGCCCAGGCTAGAGTGCAATGGCGTGATCTCAGCTCACTGCAACCTCCGCTTCCCAGGTTCAAGTGATTCTCCTGCCTCAGCCTCCTGAGTAGCTGGGATTACAGGCGCCTATCACCACACCAGCCTAATTGTTTGTATTTTTAGTAGAGACAGAATTTCACCATGTTGGCCAGGCTAATCTTGAACTCCTGACCTCAGGTGATCCACCTGCCTCTGCCTCCCAAAGTGCTGGGATTACAGGCATGAGCCACTGTGCGCAGCCCTAATTTTCATTTTGTAAAAAACCACAGAGGAACTAAGACGAAAAAAAGTGCTAAATTAAAATTGTATCCCCAAAATATGTTTGATTGTAAGTAAAAGCTCTGCAAAAGTTTATAAACAAAGTAAATAACACATTACCTCGCTAACTACCATATCAAATATAAAATTTGAAAACTATTTTTTTTTTGTAAAACTAGCAATGAACTTTGCTAGTAATGTCTAGTAAGGTCTAATGTGTCTTGCCCTGACAAGATGTTATGCAGATAGTAGAATACATGCAGTGTACTGGAAATTGTTCACTATTAAGTGAAAGAAATGAAGTAGTTGAAAGTTATATGCCAATGTCACTTTTTTTAAATATATGATTTTTCTTTTAAAATAGAGATGAAGTCTCACTTATATTGCCCAGGCAGTCTCGAACTCATGGGCTCAAGCAGTCCCCCTGCCTCAGCCTCCTAGAGTGCTGGGGTAACAGGTGTGAGCCACTGTGCCTGGCCTTTTTTTTCTTTTTATTTAATATTTTTTTTCTTTTAAAATAGAGATGAGGTCTCACTATATGCCAGTGTCATTTTAAAGTGCTGAATTCCATCTTGCTCAGTGAAAGTAGACTATTGTATGTACAGTGTGATACTTACTGTTTTTATGTGAATTAAATGAAAACTCTAAAAGTAGTTTGTAAAGTAAAAAGCCCTTTTATACTGATCCTAATCATTTCCCAAGCCTTTCAAAGGACGACAGAATTATCTGTCAGAAAATAGTTACTTGCTCTCTCTCACCCCCATTAGCCAAATCAATATATGAGATATGGAGAATTTGAGGAAATGGGGACATGTAGATGTTCAGTAAACATTAAAGCAATTAATCATTAAATCAGTCTATGTCATTACTAACCAGGAAATACTGTACTGAGTCTCAGTGATGTTTAGCAAATAAAGAGTTTTCAGTTAAAATAGATACTAATTTCCAGGTTTAACTAAACCTAAATCTAGAAAAAGATTCATCGATCCTTAAGTTATCCTAATGGGAAGAATAATAGACTGTTAAGCACAGTAAACATATAATTGTGCATTTCTTTTATCTTTAACTGGGAGATGACCCAAAGATTCACTAAGTATTATAGGGAGCTAACCCTGTATAATTTTCACTCTTCTCAAGGAGGGTTCATAACTGTGTCATTACATGCTGTTAACCACTGTACTGGAGAGAATATTACAACACTTTCCCAAACATTGATGTTACAGATTATCATTTAATTTGTTTCTAATTTTAGCTCTTGAGTTACAAATCTCCATTTTATTATTACATCTTTTTATCCTATTCAGTCTCTTTTGCTGTTTGTTTGGTTTTTTGAAACAGTCTCATTTCGTCACCTCTGCTGGAGTGCAATGGTGTTATCTCAGCTTACTGCAGCCTCAACCTCCCAAGGTCCAAGTGATCCTCCTACCTCAGTCCCCCCACACAGCTGGAACTACAGGCATGCGCCAACATGCCCGGCTAATTTTTGTTTTTTTTGTAGAAATGGGTTTTGCCACGCTGCCTAGGCTCAAGTGATCTGCCCACCTCAGGCTCCCAAAGTGCTAGGATTACACTTGTGAGCCCCTGCACCTGGCCCTAATCTCTTTTTATATAAGCTAGGGTTTTTTTTTCTTGAGTTTATAGTTCAGGAAAAGGGTGACATGTTGATGATCATGGAGAAGTAAATGGGGAATGACAGAGATGGCTGTTAAAAGTAATGTGACTTGATAACCTCATGTTGAGAGTAACAGAGGTGCCAAAGTCACCTTACGTATTGAGACTGGATATGAATAGCAATATCTTCTAGACCTTTAGTTTAAGGTGTTTTGCAAACAAAAATGCCATATGTGAGTCAACACAGGCCAGTTGACTTTGGTGCAGCCTCTGTCCCTCCTATAAAAAGTAGCCCTTACTAGAATTCTTCCCTCGTTACTCTAAATCACCTAGTTCCTCCCCAGTTATTTTATTGTGCCCTCAAATCCCCAAAGGCTTTTGCCTTCGGACTTCACAATGAAATTTAATTATGATACAGTTATTTGTAATTGATTTCCTCTAAAAATGGAACATAAGCATGTCAATAAAAGGTGTATTCTCTAAAGGTTACAAAGAGTATATAGTATGCCACAGTACGTTAGAAAAGGAAAAGGCCATAAAATACTTTCATTTACAAAGTAGGTCATGTTTTCTCTAGTAATTTTGCAACAAAGTTCTTATAAAATATGAATTTAGACCTCTGGGAGAAATGATTTATAATGCTAAGAATAACATGTTCATAGCTATAAGATAACATCTTTTATTATTTATTATTTTTAATATGTATACACAGAACACAGAGATGGTTCAGTCTATTTAACTCAGTACTATTGTATTTTAGTCTTAAAAGGGGGAGTAAGTAGAAATTCTTTTCGGACCTTTTTCTAATGGCATTTAGACAAAAATAATTTAGGAGATTTCATGGTACTAAAACTCAGAGATGCAATTGAGCCAGGTTCATAGCATGTCTCATAGATCGTGGAGCAGTCCTTATTAAGAGGATAAGGAAGAGTATAAGGAGTCTTTAGAGGTTGTCCAGACTCAAGTTCCCAAACCCAACAGATCATCAAACATAGCGCCTTTCTGGGCCCTACTTGTATCCTTTCCAAAAATTTTTTTAAAAGTCTATTTCAAAAGCTAACTAGCTTTGTAACTCTAGACAACTGTCTAGTCCCAGTTTCTTTATCTAAACTAGGTTGATAATAACCCTCTAAAGTAGGGTTTCTAGTGATTCAGGGCAAACACTCTAAAATGCAGTAGTTTTGCACATAAATGTGGAAATGGCATTAAATTCATTCTAATTCATAGCATCCGAGCCAGAAGTTTTTTACTGCAATTGGAATCCATGCTTAGCTGTTGTAATTGCAGTTGAAACACTGTCACTGCATCCTGTCAGAATATAGAACCTAAATTCTTTTTTCTCCCGAGTAGCTGGGACTACAGGCCCCCGCCACCACTCCCGCCTAATTTTTTTATATTTTTAGTAGAGACAGGGTTTCACAGTGTTAGCCAGGATGGTCTCGATCTCCTGACCTCATGGTCCGCCTGCCTCGGCCTCCCAGAGTGCTGGGATTACAGGCGTGAGCCACCGCACCTGGCCAGAACCTAAATTCTTACTGCATATTTGTGGATTACCATTTGATTCTTCTGTTAAAATTGTGACTAAATGTGATTGTAATTTTTTTTTTTTTTTTTTTTTTTTGTGGTGGAGTCTCCTTCTGTTGCCCAGTGCAGTGGCACGATCTTGGCTCACTGCAACCTCCACCTCCCAGGTTCAAGCGAGTCTCCTGACTCAGCCTCCCAAGTAGCTAGGATTACAGGCATTCACCACCATATCCAACTAATAGTTGTACTTTTAGTAGAAATGATGTTTCACTATGTTGCCCAGGCTGGTCTTGAACTCCTGACCTCAGTTGATCTGCCCGTCTCAGCCTCCCAAAGTGCTGGGATTACAGGCGTGAGCCACCACACTTAGCCTGTAATTACAATTTTTTAAAAATATAACTTTAAAAAAAGGCTCTTACTCTATTGTGGCTCAGAGAACATTAATATATTTGAAGAACGCTCCATGCATGTGCGTTTTCAAAGATTCATATAGCTTTTCCAGCAGGTAATGTTGCTCCTTTACAATTGTTGCCGAAAAGTCAGTATTGCTCTGTAAGTTCCCCAAGGCTGACTGCCTGCTCCCTTTGGGTCAACGACATGTCTCTTTTTGTTTATTAACATTGCAATGTATTATAATTAAAAATCTTTAACAGTCAGCGTTTGTTAGAGTACAGCATGCTAGCTGTAGTGATTTAGAAATGTAATTAAAGGGAGGTTATGGGTTTTAGTGGGTTTTTTCCTCTAACTGTAACCTTTTCTTAGGTACACCGATACTGAAGTACTATGAGCCTTCAGAACTTGTGGAGAGACTACAAAGTTTTGATTGTTATGGTCCCTTTAGTTGGGCTCATACATTTGGGGTGGTACAGAATCAAAAGCAGCCCTGTTTTCCAAATACCTAAAAACAACGACATTCCTGAGGAAGATAGTATGGAACTTTCAAATCTTCAGAAGAGCCAAATCCAAGGGAAGTAGCAGGCTTGCGATCTTTAGGTAAGTTCCATTTCATCTGGTTGGTTAATCATATGGTACATTCCAACAATGGGAAACTCGATCTGTTAGATCTCTGGCAAGGAAAAGCCTAAATTGGCAAGTTACCTGTTGTTTTTATTATGACCCACTGTACTATCCTGCAGTTGTTTCTAGAAAAGTGTGTTGTACAGAGACATTTGACCCTTGCCTGGCAGTCAATTGAATGCAAAGGGAAAGGGCAGTTTTGCTAGCAGCATCACCAGGATCATGAACATGTACAAAGGAGCCCCTGACTCCTTACCATTACATACCACAAAAGTCTGAATTTGTACAAGATTCTTTTCTTCTATTAGTGTTCTTTTTTTTTTTTATAATACGAAACTAATTGTATTCATGTGTTAACATCAACTATTTTAGCTTGACCATAATTTGTTACTTTTGACAGTCACTGAAATAAAGAGGATGGAGTTATATAATTCAGGTCTGTAGTCCCTTATCCATAATTCCAAAATTCAAAAAGTTCTCAAAACCAAAACATTTTATCCTAACTCCTTTGGCAGCAAAACTTGATCTTAACTGACATGAGACAATTTGCAGTGCAGTTGTCTCCCTTTATCCGTAGTTTGGCTTTCTTCAGTTTCAGTTACCTGCAGTCAACCCTAGTCTGAAAATATTAAATAGAAAATTCCAGAAATAAGCAATTCATAAAGTTTAAATTATGCACCTTTCTGAATAGCATGGTGAAATCCTGGGCTATTCTACTTCATCCACCCAGGATGTGAGTCATTCCCTTGTCTGTCTACCTGCTCGTTAGTCACTTAGTAGCACTCTGGGGTAGATCAACTGTGGCGGTATCTCTGCGCTTACATTCAGGTAACCCTTACTTTACTTCACAATGTACCCAAAGCACAAGAGTATTGTGCCTAATTTATAAATTGAACTTTATCATAGGTATGTATGTACAAGATGAAAACATAGTATATATAGGGTTTAGTGCTATATGCAGTTTCAGGCATCCACTAGGTGGTCTTGGAATATATGCCTCATAGATAAATGGGGGAGGTTACTGTTTTTAATTCCACTTAATATGAAAATTGAGTTTCACTGCAGAAATTTTATTGGCATTTGTTGCATTTGATTTACTATAATATAGCGTTATACTATATTATGATTATATTGATTATGAATGTTATATACACTATATTGTATTTATAAAATCTAAGAAATTCTGAATTATGAAACTCATCTAGCCCAAGGAGTTTCAGATAAAGAACTGTGGCCTTATAATTGTAAAGCATTTTCTATTGTAATTTACTTTTTAACCTTGACGTGAATAATATGCTCTAAGTTTTGGCATAAGGTAGATGAGTGTAAGGTTCTGCTCTTTATAGAAGAAGAACCTCAGTAAGATTTTCCTTATTTATAAGCCTTGGTCTGAGATTTTGATTTATGATATAATTACTGGTTTCAGCAATATTTTAAATCAGTATTTTATTTTTAAATGTTCATAAGCAGAAGTGGAAGAGCATGGCTTAATATATTAGACAATTATTATATATAAAAAGCCACATAGTAACATAGAAGCGTAACAACTTAAAAGAGTAACTTTAGGACATAAAATTTGTATTTATAGGAAGAGTTTTAATATATATGAGCAGGGAGTCACAGAATTTATTAGATGCTGGATTTTTATATATATAGTCTTCCAGACTGTAGTAAGACCATTATATTATGTATGTATATTGTAATTATGACAAGAAGTAAAGAACAAAAAGATGTTGTAACAGTTTGCAGGCCAGGTATGGCCAAACTTTGGAGGAAGAATATTAAGTAGTTTCTTGTCGTGCAAAAAGAAATACTCTTGGGGGGAAAATAGAGCTGAGAAAAGAATCTCCTCCAAAATATTAGGTGAATGTAGTAAGAGGTTTTAGATGCCAATGAAGCAATGGTTAAAAGTTTTAGAGGGGCTGGGCGCGGTGGCTCACGCCTGTAATCCCAGCACTTTGGGAGGCCGAGACGGGCGGATCACGAGGTCAGGAGATTGAGACCATCCTGGCTAACACGGTGAAACCCCGTCTCTGCTAAAAAATACAAAAAACTAGCCGGGCGAGGTGGAGGGCGCCTGTAGTCCCAGCTACTCGGGAGGCTGAGGCAGGAGAATCCGGCCACTGCACTCCAGCCTGGGCGACAGAGCGAGTCTCCGTCTCAAAAAAAAAAAAAAAAAAAAAGTTTTAGAGGCTAACATTTCCTGTCAAGCAAGCAGAAGCAGATATTTAAACAGGCATTTAGTAAGCAAAAGTTAGAGCCGGATTTAGAGTAAGTTAAACACCAATTCCAAATAGTTGAAGTACATCAAAAAATGCATTGTATTTGTCTCTTATTTTCTATTCTTAGTTTCATTATGGAAAATTACATACGTGCCACAAAGTAGAGAGAGGATGGTGTATTGAGCCCTCAAGTATCCATCAGCTGGCTTTAATAGCTAGCGGCATTTTGCCACAACTAGCTTTGATAGTTGATAGCATTTTGCCAGTCTTCTTTTATCCATCTTTTCCTCTGTTTTTTGAACTGCTAGAATATTTTAAATCAAATCTTAAGCTCGACTATGTAGTCCTTTAGTACGTGTCTTTAACAGTAAGACTAAACACACATACACAAACATATTTGCATTATCACCCAGAAAAACTTAACAGTGACTCTTTACCTACAGTTTGATACCCAAGGCCATGTTTATATTTCTGAATTTGTCTTAAAAAATCGTTACAGGTGGTTTGTTGGAATCAGGATCCAAACAAGGTCTACATATTGCATTTGACAGACAATGTCTCTTTTCAATTCCCCTCCTAAATCTGCCTTTAAAAAAAAATTCCCACATTCTCAGTTTGGCTGATTGCTTCCTCATCTTGTCTTTTAACAATTTTCCTCTCTCCCCTATTTCCTGTAATCTTGTACTTATGTTAAGAGACTACTTTCATTTGTTTTTTTAATTTATTTTTTGAACAAGAATACTTCATAGATGGTACTGTGGAATAGATCCTAGGTAATCATGTTGTTTCACATATAATGTCCGATCCACTTTTGATGGTGGTGGTGTTAGTTTTTTTTTTTTTTTTAAGAGAGAGAAGGGCCTTGATTTGTCACCCAGGCTACAGTATAGTAGCGTATCATAGCTCACTGCAGCCTCAAACTCTTGGGCACAGGCCATCCTCCAACCTTAGCATCCCAAGTAGCTGTGACTACAGGTATCCACCACCATACCTGGCTAAGTTCTAAAATTTTTTTAGAACCAGGGTCTTGCTGTGTTGCCCAGGCTGGTCTCAAATTTCTGGCCTCAAGCAACCCTCCTGCCTTGGCCTCCCAAAGTGATGGGATTACAGGCAAGAGCCACTACGTCTAGCCAGTGTTGCAAAGACTAACAGGCAAGTTAGCAGTGTTTCTTTCCATTGTAAAGTTCCCCCCTTTTTTCTTTTTTTTTTTTTTTAAGATGCAGTAAGGCGATGTCAGCTCACTGCAACCTCTGCCTCCTGGGTTGAAGTGATTCTCCTGCCTCAACCTCCGGAGTAGCTAGGATTACAGGCACCTGCCACCACACCTGGCTAGATTTTTGTATTTGTTTAGTAGAGACAGGATTTCACCATGTTGGCCAGGTGATCTTTTACTTAATAAATTATCAGCGACTATTCATTATCATTGCTGTAACCTAGAAATTGGCAAACTTTTTTCTATAAAAGACCAGATAGTAAATATTTTAGGCTTTGCAGATCACATAGTGTCTGTACCAACCCTTCAGCTTTCTGTTGTAGTGTAAAAGCACTCATACACAGTACACAAATTAATGAGCATGGCTGCTTTCCAATAAAACTTCGTTTACGAAAACAGGCAGCAGGCTGGATGTGGTCCCTAGGCTTAATTTACCAACCACTGTATGTGGTCTAATACACTATTTCATTAGGGGCTGCCAAATGATGCTGCTCAAATTCTATCATTCCTTCTCCATTTATTAGCTGGAACAACTTTCATCGTCAACCATTCAGTTACCCCAAAATGCATTTATACAAGGAAAGCAAGATAAATGTTTTATCTCTGTAATTCCCTTTATTGCTTTTTATAATAATGAGTGCTCAAACCGCTTAGGGTTTTTGTTTTTGGTGTTAGTATGAACCTGTGGGTTTGCATATATTTCAGTTATCTTAATCTATTGCAGTCATCTTTTTTTTTTTTAATGCTAAAGTTGTCCCATTTTGGATCCTCTCCATGTTGACTCCTGTTGTTTTTCCTTTGTCCTTGTGATATGACCCAGGTAGTCTTTAATATATGCTTACTTTTTGGCAGAAAAGGACCCCAGCTTACCTTGTGTATTTCTTACCTCATACCTATCAGTCTTTTTGCCAAAGAACTCCATTTGCTTTTAGGAAAAACTTTTACCTGTTTATATTTTCTTTAAATCATATTTTATAGTGCACCTCTTACTTTAGAAGACAGTCATGCAAGTTTTACTGTTATTTTAATTAAGTTATCCATCACTGCAACAACAACAAAGACCCATCTCCTAAGCCTATGCATTCAGGAATAGTCAGGACCATTCATCTGATGGTAACTCTTGGAATTATGGAGCTCCTTGTTTAGGAAGAAAGAGTTTTAATAGAGCTGAACTGATACTTCCAAACATGTTCTATAAACTAGCTCCAGTGGTTTGGATTTTTTTCTCTTTTTTGTACCTTCTTTTGTTCAAGTCTAGACCTGTGACCACAGGTCAACAGGTTTTGGCATCTTTAAAATGATTTGGGAGTCGTTAACACTTTCAGTGATTTCTTTGTCGTTTTAATGAAATACTAGCCAAAAGATGTGTATACTGGTCTCACTACCGTAAGACTGACAGAGGTGCCAACATAGCATTCTGTTTTTGAAAAGTTACATGTCACTATTAAGTATTGAAAATGTTCTAACTAGAAAAACCATTTTCTTAATCATAGTTTTTATTGTGGGGGGTGTGTGTGTGTGTGTGTGTGTGTGTGTGTGTGTGTAAGTTTTAACATGCAAATTACCATATAGAAGTCACTATGAGGTTTCATTTAAATGTATTTCTCAGATTTTGCTGAATCTGAAATAACCATTGAAATATTTAAGTACCTTGGCTGTTCCTGGCATAGATAAACAGATTTTTCTTTCCCTCCTCATGCCACACAAAAGTTGACAATAGCTTTATCACCACAGGAAGAAAGCTGACCATTATTGCCCTTACTTTATTTGGGCCCAGTTGCCATGGTTACAGCCCTTTAAATTGGGAGCAGTAACCAAAATAACATTTTGCATAACATTCCCTTGTTCTGCCCACCTCTTTGCACATCTTCAAATCAGGATTTGGATCTGATCACCATACTATGCTGTAGCCTACTTTTAGGAAGTACCTTAGGCTAAACAGATTTGTTTCATTTATGCTAAATGCTCTCCCAGACCCTACCATACTCAGCATATTCTTGGAAATACTAACTAATAATTGTACCTTTAAAACACCAGGCTTCAACAGATAAGATCTGTGAGCTAACATTTTTATTCTTTTCACACATTATTATTAATGTGTCAAGAATTTATGCCTCAAGGCACACTTTTTTTTTTAACAAGGACACTACCTTGTTAAGGAAACTAGAATTGTATTTCTACATGTCCATTTGATATATGATGATAACATTTTATGATATTTAGACTTTGAAATTGAATTGCAACTCAGATCCTGTTTTTGTTGTTGGTGTTATCCAGCATATCCCTTGGTTTTTGCATTTTGGTACTGTCATTAACCAGTGCTTTGGGGAGGATTAGTTGACTAGGACTTCCAAAACTGAAAATCATTGATTAATAAAGTAAAATGATAGAAAATTAGCTCTGACATTAGCCAGGTGTTTAAAACATGGTTTGTTTTCTGGTACCATGTGTTGTGCAGATTTATTCAGCTAAATATAGACTATACATTAGTGAGTTTCTGCAATAGACATGCCAACAGCTATCTTGTTTTTATAATTATTTATAAACAGGACTTGATGTAAATGCACTTCTGTTCAAACCTAAAGTTTCCAAGCAAACCACAATTATAGATAAAAACATAATATTAAATCTTGATGTCGGAGAATAAAAATATTTGGGACCTCTTTTAAGACTCAGAGATTGCCGGGCGCAGTGGCTCATGCCTGTAATCCCAGCACTTTGGGAGGCAGAGGTGGGCGGATCACCTGAGGTCGGGAGTTCGAGACCAACCTGACAAACATGGAGAAACTCTGTCTCTACTAAAAATACAAAATTAGCTGAGCATGGTGGCACATGCCTGTGATCCCTGCCACTGGGAAGGCTGAGGCAGGAGAATTGCTTGAACCCAGGAGGCGGAGGTTGTGGTGAGCCGAGATTGCGCCATTGCACTCCAGCCTGGGCAACAAGAGCGAAACTCCATCTCAAAAAAAAAAAAAAAAAAAAAAGGCTCAGAGACCTAATTCTGTGTTTTATATTGTAGCATTTCTCTCCTAGAAGCATGCCATATTCAAATAACTGCTGTAAGCTTTCTAGCCATGTTGTTGTGCCTTACAAAATCACTGAAATACAAGCACTTTTTCTTGTAGCAGGACTTATTGAAGAATAAAGGAATTTTAAGTCAAAGTTGGTTTACTTTTCTCATTTTCGGGAGGTTTATGCCAGTTAGTAGTTTCTTTTTCTAAAAAGCCAGCAGAGCATTAGAAAAAATTATTAAACTGCAGTCTACAAAATGCTTGGGAAGTATTTCTCTAAAATGTTTTATTTTTATTTCTTAGATAAAGAAGCGGCTTTGAATCTGAGCTTCATGTCAAAAGAAGAGATGAAAAATACCAGTTGGATTAGAAAGAACTGGCTTCTTGTAGCTGGGATATCTTTCATAGGTGTCCATGTTGGAACATACTTTTTACAGAGGTCTGCAAAGCAGTCTGTAAAATCTCAGTCTCAAAGCAAACAAAAGAGTATTGAAGAGTGAAGTAAAATAAATATTTGGAATTACTAATTTGTCGTGAAACCATTATATGCTGATTAGCTTCATAAACATTGAACTCTTTGATTTTATAGCCACAATGCTGCATATTCATACTTTAATTCCTAAAGAATAATTTTTAATGTTAAAACGTGATAATGGAATAAATAGAAAAATGTGGTTTACAAAATAAAAACGGTCTTCACTAGTTACCACCTGAAGTAAGATGTCTCGTTTGGAAGCTAAGAAGCCATCATTGTGTAAGAGTGAACCACTGACATCTGAGAGAGTCAGGACCACACTTTCTGTCTTGAAAAGGATCGTAACATCATGCTATGGCCCTTCAGGTAGGCTGAAGCAGCTGCACAATGGCTTTGGAGGTTACGTGTGCACAACCTCACAGTCCTCAGCCCTGCTCAGTCACCTTTTGGTCACACATCCCATTTTAAAGATCCTGACAACCTCCGTGCAGAATCATGTGTCAAGCTTCAGTGATTGTGGCTTATTCACAGCCATTCTTTGCTGCAACCTGATTGAAAATGTTCAGAGATTAGGCTTGACACCCACCACTGTCATTAGATTAAATAAACATCTTTTGAGTCTTTGCATCAGTTATCTCAAGTCCGAGACCTGTGGTTGTCGAATCCCAGTCGACTTTAGTAGTACTCAGATCCTCCTTTGTTTGGTTCGCAGTATATTAACAAGTAAACCTGCCTGTATGCTCACCAGAAAGGAAACAGAGCATGTCAGTGCTTTGATTCTGAGAGCCTTTTTGCTAACAATTCCAGAAAATGCTGAAGGCCACATCATTTTAGGAAAGAGTTTAATTGTACCTTTAAAAGATCAAAGAGTTATAGATTCCACTGTATTACCTGGGATACTCATTGAAATGTCAGAAGTTCAATTAATGAGGCTATTACCTATCAAAAAATCAACTGCCCTCAAGGTGGCACTCTTTTGTACAACTTTATCCGGAGACATTTCTGACACTGGAGAAGGAACTGTGGTGGTCAGTTATGGGGTTTCTCTTGAAAATGCAGTCCTGGACCAGCTGCTTAACCTAGGAAGGCAGCTAGTCAGTGACCATGTAGATCTTGTCCTGTGCCAAAAAGTTATACATCCATCTTTGAAGCAGTTTCTCAATATGCATCGTGTTATTGCCGTAGACAGAATTGGAGTGACTCTGATGGAACCCCTGACTAAAATGACAGGTAAAACTCACTCTTGGTTTTGCCCCTTACAGTTAATAAATCACACTTTTTTGAGCAGAGATATTTTTGGTTTGTGTCACTGTTAACATCTTGAAAAATTGACACAGCATGTGTCAGTATCATTTCTGGCATCAGAGGTTTCTGAAAAAGATCCTGTATTGTTCACATACTAAAAATGCAGTTGATTATAGCCATTTTCATATCATAATCTGACCCCCCAATATTTTACAGGTTATTGAAAAGTCTAACATCCTCATAATCCTAAGGTCTTTCATACTTTGCACAAAATTCTTCAGCCTCAATTCACAAAACTCTTAAATCATGTTATATTTAGAAAATGATTTTGTAACTAGAATGCCCCTTTTTCTTCACTTTATCATAATTGCAACAAACTTCTGTACTTCTGCTTAAGTACTTGTTTCTAATGGGAGGGGGATGTACATGCACCACTGTTTTACCTATATCAAAACTGTTTCCAGCTGACCTTGAGAACCAAGATCATCTTTTACTTTCAACACCTATTACAGGCCTGACCCACAGTAGGTGTTCTAAAGTGTTTGTTGAATTGACTGAAATATAGTTGTTAATATACAGAACTACAATAGGCAAAAAAAATTCACTGTATTTTACAAACACAGCAAATTAAAAGCAAATATAAGACCTGTTAGAGCCAAAGAAAAATGACAAGCTGAAGAGTTCCTAATTTGAGCTACTTTTCAGTGTTCCTTTAATTGCTTTGACAATCTCTCAGAAAGATGATCATTTAGTCTGCATTGTTTCCAATTTTTAAGTTATTAGACTTAAACCATTATTAAAGTTCATTAATAAAAGTCTTAGTATAAATTATCAAAAAGGAGCCTTATGTGTGCCCAGTGTTGAATACATAGTATCTCTGGGTTACTGTCCTACCTTTGTAAGACTCAAATGACTGTCAAAGTAGAAGTTTCTTAATAATGGAAATAATTCCTTAGAACTCATTGTTGGTATGGTAAGTCAGACTGATATCCTTAAATATCTACTAGCTTTGCATGAATCTGGCAATTTCCAGCTTGTAAATACTGGGTCTTCCAGATTGATTTTTAAAATATGGGACACTTTAGCCAGGTGTGGTACATGCCTGTAGTCCCAGCTGCTTGGGAAGTTGAGGCAGGAGGATTGCTTGAGCCAAGGAGTTCAAGTCCAGCCTGGGCAACAAAGCGGGACCACATCTTTAAAAAAAAAAAAAAAAAAAAAAAGAGTCGGGCGGTGGCTCACACCTGTGATCCCAGCACTTTGAGAGGCCAAGGCGGGTGGATCACAAGGTCAGGAGATCGAGACCATCCTGGCCAACATCATGAAACCCCGTCTCTACTAAAAATACAAAAAAATTAGCTGGGCGTGGTGGCCGCACTTGTAATCCCAGTTACTTGGGAGGCTGAGGCAGGAGAATTACTTGAACCCGGGAGGTAGAAGTTGCAGTGAGCCGAGATTACACCACTGCCCTCCAGCCTGGTGACAGAGCAAGACTCCCTATCAAAAAAAAAAAAAACATTTTCCCATAGAAACCATATTGTAACTGGGGGCTGGGTTTCCACACTAGCCCACAATATATACCTAAACATGGCATTAACAGCCATAGTTTTAGTCCTGGGTCTTGGGAGCAAAGACCTTTTGAGAAAAAGAAGAGGCGGAAAACTGTACCAGGTACGTGGCACAAGTAAACTTTTAGGTAGATGAAGTATGATTTTGGCCTTACCTATCTCCCCTGGTGTATCTAAGTTAACATTACCTCATTTCAGGCCTTCAAACAAAATTCCTATTTATTAATGATATAGGTTGCATAATGGGTGATACTGTGGATGGGTGCCACATGTGAAACGTATTGCAGCTTACGGAGGTTTTTTTGTTTTTTTTGTTGTTTTTTTGTTTGTTTGTTTGTTTTTTTAAGATGGAGCCTCACTCTGTCGCCCAGGCTGGAGTGGGGTGGCGCAATCTTAGCTCACTGCAACCTCCACCTCCCGGGTTCAAGCAATTCTGTCTCAGCCTCCCTAGTAGCTGGGACTACAGGTGCACACCACCACGCCCGGCTAATTTTTCCTATTTTTAGTAGAGACAGGGTTTCACCATATTGGTCAGGCTGGTCCTGAACTCCTGACCTCAGGTGATCTACCCCCCTCGGCCTCCAAAAGTACTGGGATTATAGGCGTGAGCCACTGTGCCCGGCCTGGAGCATTTTTAACATTTGATTTATTTGTGAAGTATGCATTATTATCCCCACTTGCCTCTCATGTGACAGAGGCAGAAAGTTAAATGACATGAGTGACAGCATCCAGTGACTCAAGCAGTAGAGCCAGTCTTCTCACTAGAATCTGTTGTTCCCACCATGTGAAAGAAATTACACTATTTAAGATTTTGGCTTTTTTTACTTAGATCACTTTTTAAAAGTATTCGTTATTTTGAAGACTTCAGAAGTAAACAATATTCAAATAAGTGAAATTGTTTAGTGATTATATTCTATAAATTTTTTGAGCTGGAAGTGTTTATAGCATTTTAGACTTTTTTTTTTTTTTAAGATGGAGTCTCGCTCTGTTGCCCAGGCTGGAGTGCAGTGGCACGATCTCGGCTCACTGCTCACTGCAACCTCCGTCCCCGGAGTTCAAGCGATTCTCCTGCCTCAACCTCCCGAGCAGCTGGGATTACAAGCACCTGCCACCACGCCTGGCTACTTTTTGTATTTTTAGCCAGGTTTCACCATGTTGTCCAGGCTGGTCTCGAACTCCTGACCTCAGGCGATGCCCGCCTCAGCCTCCTAAAGTGCTGGGATTACAGGCATGTAATTACACCCGGCCAAGATTTTAGACTTTCAAACTAAACCCCATTAGTTTGAAAGAAACCATCTTTTATAGGTGAGTCTGAAAGAAAAGGAAACTAGCTCAAAGTGGTGAATGGCTCAGAATTATAGCTTTAGACTTTAAATTAGTATTGTGTCTTGTAGGGGTTTGGTGTAGGTTTCTTTTCTTAAATAACTTCCATTACATTTGGAGATTTGGAAAATTCAAGTCACCCTAACTTCTTTATTCGTATTTTTACTTGTGGCTTATAAAACTTTACTATTTTACATGTGCGGGTAGGAGGACAAAATACTTAATATATCAAATAATAACAGTGAAATAAGCATGTCACTTTATTTTGGTATAATTCAGATAGCTATTTTATAAATCGTTGCTAGACAAAAAACTAGTTCTTACGTATTCACTATGTAGAACCCGAAGGAATTCAACTACACAAGCATTTGAATAGCTGCATTTATTTTAAATTGAAAATAATAATTCCTTTTAAAAATAGCTTCTCACCTCACATCACCCTTAATCCAAATTAGTGAAGTTCTTAATTTGGGGTCTCTAATCCCTGAGTGGGCTTTGAGGGTTTCTGAACTCCCTGAAAATGTATGCAAAATGGTATGCCCCCTTTTCTGGGAAGAGAGTACAAAATGACTTCTAACAGATTTTCAAAGAGCTCTGTAAACCAAAATAACTTCTGCTTTACTTTATTTGTATATCATTTTAGTAGCAGAATATAACTTAGCAATTTAGGGAGATTCATCTTATTTATCCTATATTTCATATTTTAAATTATATGCTTATGGGGCTTTTATGTTGGCTAGGAATAAGTATACTTTTAAATGGTTGTTTGCTCCACTTTTGCTTATACATCTTGTATTTTCTAATCTTTAAAAAATAGGAACACAGCCTATTGGATCCCTAGGCTCAATATCTCCTAATAGTTATGGAAGTGTGAAAGATGTGTGCACTGCAAAATTTGGCTCCAAACATTTTTTTCATCTTATCCCTAATGAAGCAACAATCTGCAGCTTGCTTCTCTGCAACAGAAATGACACTGCCTGGGATGAGCTGAAGGTAGGTAATGAATTTTGAATTCTATATGCAGGGGCTGAGGGAGGAATTAGTCACTCAACAGTTATTATGAATTTTTTTTTCGTAGCTTCCCTAGGTAGTATAGAAAGCAAAAATTAAAATGACTGATGCAGAGTCACAAGTAAGCTAATTTAAATGCCTGTGGCATTATAATAATTTTGGCATGTGTTGCCATTTATTATTTCTACTATTGACAAGAAACCTAAAAGGCCGTTGACATGTGAACTTTTCTAAGAAATTAACTTGAATTGTGTAGTCTTTGATGCTAATGTGTATGAATAATTCACTTGGAAAATGAGTTCACTAGTCAATACCCATCATCCACTGCTTAGCAGAGTTTCCTGTTCTCTGCCAGCAATAATACATTCAACTTTTATACAAGGGAAATGAACATCTGTGGGATTGGTCACAAGTTTTAAAGATTCATGTATGCTCAAGGATATATCCTTAGTAAATGTTAAAGGTCTGTGTGGTTTTTTTTTATTTATTATTGCTGGGATGTAACTGTATTATTTCCAAAACAATTCAAAATAAATTTATTATTTAGACTGAAATAATTTTTTTTAGTGGATGTGCCAGCAAACCTTGTTGACCCAGATATTTTGAGGCCATATATTTGTCAGTCTCAATTTGAAGAGCTAAGTGTATACGAAAGAAAATACTAATCTGGCTCCATGAAACAAACTTCTGACTAAAGTATCTTCCTTTAATCTCTAAACCTTATTATTCAGAATGTTTTAATCACATGACAACCTTGGCACAGCACAAGTTTTGTTCTTTTGCAATTAAAATCATACTCTTTGTATTCACTGTGATGCTTTGAGAGCATGACTTTTTGTGTGTGTATATGATGTGAATGTCTGATTCTGATGATTTGGGGTTTTTCTTAGCTCACGTGTCAGACGGCACTGCATGTCCTGCAGTTAACACTCAAGGAACCGTGGGCTTTGTTGGGAGGTGGCTGTACTGAAACTCATCTGGCTGCATATATCAGACACAAGGTACATAAGATAATCCTCTTCGGATTACCTGAATTCTCAGCAACTTTTGTTTTATGAGATAATAATCCAAAATCATAATATCCTGTAGCCTTTTTGTTTGTTAGTTTTAACTTTTATTTTAGGTTAAGGGGTGCATGTATAGGTTTGTTATATAGGTAAAATTGTAGCCTTTAACACTGAATTTTTCAGTAGTCTAAATAAAATACATAATCCAAAACACTTGAGGGAAATAACAAGGTAAATATAAGGTAATATCTTTATTACAATGGTTTATTATAAAAATAATATTTTAGCAAATGATCACGTTCTTTGAGTATTGTCTACATGTACTGCATGTTGAAGCTAGCATCCTGTTATTGGGAGTTCTCTTAGAGATCTCAACTGCTGCAATACAGTAATAATTGATGTTCACAAACAAAAGGGCCAAGTTTCTACAGAATACTTAAGTATCTTCTAGAGCGTCAAGAAAACAGTTTCATTTATTTAAGCAGTTCACATATTAGATTCTAATTTTAAGATTGGTATTTATGTATGTTATTTATTAATTCTACTAAATAGAATTTTTTGATTAGTCTGGGAAACTCCATTTCCTGACAGCTCTCAGATAAGTTTAGTGCATTGTAGTTCTGATTATGTCATAAGTACTGGCCTACTTTATTTGAAAATGGATACAAAATGGTATAGGTGTTTTCCAGATGTTAGCAGTCGATTCATTGGGTAAACATGCCCTGTCCCTCCCCAAGTAACTTAGAATCTGTTTGAAGATAAAGCACTTTCATGAAAAGTTATCAGAATATACATTATGGAAAACAAAATTCATGCCAATCTATTGGTGCTGAATGGACAATAATGTGTTCTGAAATGGAATTGAGTAAACTAGAGAAAGTTTTTTGCAGGAAGAAGGTGTCTTGAGTCGGAAAGTAGTCACTGTTTTTAAGCAGTTAAGATATGGATTTTTTAAACCATCATTCAGTTGTTAGTTTGCTAATACAGACATGTTGCTTAACAACAAGGATATATTCTGAGAAATGCATCATTAGGCAATATTGTTGTGCAAACAGTATAGAGTGTACTTACACAAACCTACATGGTAGAGCCTACTACACTCCTAAGCTATGTGGTTTAGCCTATTGCTCCTAGGCTACAAACCCTTACGGCAGGTTACTGTGCTGAATACTGTAGGTAATTGTAGCACAATGGTATTTGTGTATCTAAACATATCAAAACATAGAAAAGGTTAGTAAAAATATGGCCTTCTAATCTTATGGGACCACTGTTGTATATGCAGTCTGTCATTGACTGAAGCGTTGGTATGTGGTACATGGCTAAATATTAATTTTTCTTTTTATCTTGGAATTTCTAGGATAAACTTGTTTAAATAGTGAAACCAGAAGACAGTTTATGGTCTTACTACCTTTTCATTAATTTAAAGAGAAGAATATTCCTTTTTAAAACATTGATGTGAAAATTTACATCATGATTTCCAAATAAAAATATGTGCATTCTCATTTTAAACAAATCTCAAACATTTTGCAGAGATAAATAAGTACATCATTTGAGACATCAGTCTTCAGGAACTTCCTCCTGTGTGCAGAGAAACCTGTAATACATGCATTGTGCCTTGTTCTTCATGTATTAAAGAGGCACTACCACGCCTCATTCAGAATAAGCTGATGATGGGGTCATCCTGAGTCACCCATTCTGGTAACATGACTGGTAGTATATACATTTTTACTATAACCAACCTAGTTAAGGGTTTGCAGCCTGGCCGACTGACCCATACAAGCCCATTAGCATTGTACCAAACCCCAAATTAAATGAAAGTAAGTAGTAACTTTAGGAATAAGATTTTGATTCAGTATCTTATTTTTCTTAAGCAGTTTATATTAATTGCTTTGTATGTGTTCTCAATGTTTTTATTACTCTTTAGACTCACAACGACCCCAAAAGCATTCTCAAAGATGATGAATGTACTCAAACAGAACTTCAACTAATTGCTGAAGCATTTTGCAGTGCCCTAGAATCTGTTGTTGGCTCTTTAGAACATGATGGAGGTGAAATTCTCACTGACATGAAGTATGGACACCTTTGGTCAGTTCAGGCAGATTCTCCCTGTGTTGCTAACTGGCCAGATTTGCTTTCACATTGTGGCTGTGGATTATACAATAGCCAGGAAGAACTCAGCTGGTCTTTCTTAAGAAGCACACGTCATCCTTTTGTGCCACAAACCTGCCTTCCACTTGAAGCTGTGGGCTCAGCCAGCAACCTGACCTTGGACTGTTTGACTGCAAAGCTTAGTGGCCTACAGGTGGCTGTAGAGACAGCCAATTTGATTTTGGATCTCTCATATGTTATTGAAGATAAAAACTAAGAGAATAGCATGTTTGTATTACGAAAGAAACAAATAAACTAGTCTGGTGACAATTAAGAAAAATTGTGAGTGTATTTGTTCTCTCCCAAAGACCTGTTCTACATATTTGGACAAATGACTCATAAAATTATAGATACACTTATTTAGGAAAAAAGGTGATTCGTGAATAGAAATGCCATGAAATAATAAAAATATGAAGCATTATTTATTTTAAAATATTATAGTTATCTTAGGGATTCTATAGTGACTGCTGTACATTGTTCTAAATTTTTATTGTTATTTTGGCATCATTTTGAGAGCAAACAAATAAAAAGACTCCTAATCCATGCTCTAGTTTGGATATACATGTTTTAGATATTTTCTAGTTAGTAGTAATTACATATGCTTAAAGTAAACTAGATCTCACAGTGTCACAAAACTTTCAGCATATATTGCTCAATCAAAAGAAGTATTCAAACTGCACATTGAGTAAAATTTCACTTTTCTCCGTGCCCTTTATCTCAGGCTATATTCTTCAGTGGTTAGATAATTGAGTAGAACCTGGTTTGCTGCAATTTGTAGTTTATATCTCAACTCCACATTTTTGTTATTTGGGGGAAATCTTTGCTTTTGGGGGGAAAAAAAGATTTATATAGTAACCAAGGCTAAAGTAAAGTTGTAATGTCTTCATTTTTAAAGTGAGAGGAAGAACTGGTTTGTTTTACACTGGGATTTCTCAACCTTGACATTATTGATGTTCTGGACCCCATAATTCTTTGTTGTGCGGAGGCTGCCCTGTGCGTTACAGCTTATTTAGCAGCATCCCTGGCTTCTACACACTAGATGCCAGTAGCACACTCCTGTTGTGACAACCAAAAACGTCTCCAGACGTTGCCAAATGTTCCCAGGAGAGCAAAATTGTTGGTTGAGAACTATAGACTGATAGAAAAAGGAAGGAAAATGAGGAGTATTCTACCAGGACTTCAGAAAGCAGCATGAAGGAAGGGGACGTTATTTCTCTAGTCAATAGTATGAAAAAGAAACTAGAAAAGCTCCCGTGTTCAAAATAGAGACACTATGTTTCCCCAAGGGATGGAACTTGAATTTTATGCAAATATAAGATGTATTGATAAATTGAAGCAGAAATATAGAAGGCAGCCACATGAATAAGCATGGAGCTATAACAAATGTTATATGAAACTTTACGAAAACATTTTGGAAATTTTGGGGAAACGAACCAACCTAATAGTCAATGATCAGATCTATAGCCATGATAAAGAGAAATAGAATTGTTCAACCATTTCCTCCAATATTCTTGTAATCAAAAAGAATGTTTCCTCTGAGCCAAAGGAAAAAGCTAGCAATACAAACAGCAATGCCATCCATATATATTAAATATCAGCCCCACCTGAAGTCTCATAAAATATTTATCATAAGTTTTACTTCTTTTATTATTAGAATCAAATAGAAGGGCAGTGTGATAGGCAGCCTCTAAGGTGGCCCCCAGTGATCCTCACCTCCTGGTTTCAGACCTTGCATAATTTCCTCCCCTTGAATGCAGGCTAGACTTCGTGACTCCTTTATGTCTCTCATTTCCCAGCTTTGTGGACAGAATGTTACAGTGATGGTCATGGTTATGCCTTATGCATAATTTTATGCTGTGAGTAGAAGGTAGATCAATTTTCTCTAGTTTCATGGGTCTACAGATGGAAAGCAACTGTATTCCAGGAACCGTACTTAAAGAACTACGCCCTGAGGAAACCTGGGGTGATTCCAATTATGAGATCACCCTGACTTGATTCCAATTATGAGATTCTGAACTTTGAGCTGATGTAATGCAAAAGTGAAACTTTTGAGGATCTGATGAGTAGGGGGGATGTATTTTATATGTGGTAGGCAGCCTCTAAGATGGTTCCCAATAATCTCATTTCCTGTCAGTTCACTCTCTGGGTGTAGGTGGGACCTAGTGACTAACTTCTAATGAATAGAATACAGCAGAAGGGACAGGATGTCACTTCTGATATTTGGTGGTAAAAAGATGAGTGTATCTCTTGATGCCTTCTCTCTCAATGAAAGCCAGCTGTCATGTTGGGAACTGTCCCTTGGAGAGGCCCACATAGCAAGGGTTGAGGGAGGCTTCTAGCCAACTCCTCAAAAGGAACTGAATCGTACCAAAAACCACAAGAGTGAATTTGGAAGCAGGTTCTCCCCAATGGAACCTTGAGATGAGTATAGCCCTGCCACACGAGAGACCCTGAAGCAAAAAAAGCCAGCTAAGCTATTTCCAGGTTGGTTCCTGACCCACAAAATCTGTGAGATAATAAATGTTGTTTTAAGTCAAATTTGGGGTGTACTTTCTTATACAGCAATAGCTATCTAATAAAGGCAGGAGGAAAGCTTATTTGTAATAAATTACTTACTGAAAACTTGGTCACATCAATGGAAAAAAGCATTCTTGATGCCATGCCTTTACTTTTTTATTATCATCCCAACCTAAAAGAAGGGTTCTTCATCACATGTGTTTACAATGGTCACTGAAGAAGGTGTGTCACATAGGAATTGGGAATTGTCCTGGTTCTCCTTGGCCTTATCCTGCATTTTTTTCAAGTTCCTCCAAGAAGGGGTGACACAGTGAACCTCTCCAATTGATCTGATAGATTAGGGGTTTCCACTTTCCATGATAGCCATTTTTTAAATTCTATCATTTTTAGCTTTACCATAAAATTTGATTACATTCCTTGGCGAAACATTAATGCTCTTATTTTGAATACATCACAAATTAGTTAAAATATATTTATAAATGCCTCTGTGTTTCCTAAAGTTGTAATAATCCTTAGCAGAAAACACCGAAAATAGAAAAAAAAAAAAAACCTTCCTCTATAATTCAAGAAAATTAGCATTCAAACTTAGATGATAAAACGTGAAATGAAAATTGTTGATGAAAATAATTTCAGAGGAGTTCCTTTTGGCAGAAATAAATGATAAGTAAAAATAGCAACTAAGGTAAGCCTGAGGCAGTGTTTTGTGACTTGAAGTAAGATTGAGGTCTGAATATTGCATTATGAAGTACCTCAGGAGAGAGAATGGGAAACCCTGATAGCTGTGGAAAAGGAAAGGGAGAGTATGCTGAAGAGAATGAAGTCAGTGACAGTTGCTCAATACTTTCGTGGGACTCTCAGGACATGTAGCATTAAACATTATTGAACCATAGGAGTCCAACAGGATTGTCATCTCATTAATCAAAAGACGTTAGGATTTTAGCAGCAAGGAAAAAAGTGGAGAGCTAAAGCAAATTAAAGGAAATTTTTAATCAAATACTTATTTGGTCTTATAGCTATCCTACTCTTTAATTCCTCCATTTATTTGTACAATATTAGAGAGTCTTTACATGTTAGACATTGTAAATCAACTGTTAGACTGAAGCACTTTATATAAGTGAAGTATTTTACACAAGATATTTAAACTATATCACATTAATATCTTTTATCATAGGTATCCTTGAACTCATTTAGTTTGTATTATCAAAGCTACTTAGGCATTTACATGGTAGACGAGGGATTTTAAGTACCCATAAATCAGCCATTGTATTCCGTATTTTCATATTGTTGTTCATATTGTTGAGCAGTTCTTTGGATAACTTTAAAATAAAATAATGTTGTTTACAGTCACATACATTATGCAGGTTATTTTAAATTATCATATACAAAAATCAATGCAGGCCTTGACAAAACATAGGATTAGTTAGGTTATTCCTTCCTGATAATCTTTGGGGAATAGTCAAAGAGACTAAACATCTCCTACAAGGCCCCATTTCAGCTGTCTAAATAAAGCTATCTCTTAATCTGAAGCAAAAGTCAATTTTGAATATCTGATATCTTTATAATTTTTTTCATGTAGCTAAGTGCTTCCATTTAGTAACTATGGTATCCCATAATGGAAATTTTTGCCAATCATCTACAGATTTTGAATTTAGATGCACCTAAACCCAATGTTAGCCTACATTTGGATTATAAGTAGATTTATATGCTGCTTTAATACTCATGAAAGAGATTGCAATCCCTGAAAACTATTCCTAAATGTAAATGAAGCCTTTTGTTGGAGAGACGATTAGACTTGGCACACTAAAAGTCATGGAATACTATATTACCTGTAATAAAGTGTGAATTTAGAGGGAAATAAAACAGCTTGACAATCTCCTATTAAAAATTCTCTGAGAAAATACTTATAATAAACATCTTCTTTTAGCTACCTTGACTTTGTTTCGAGTATTGTGGTTTCATTTTGGGAAGTATTGGTTGAGCTCTTTCTGTTTGCCAGATAGGTTAGTCAAGCGTATTTGGTGGTGAGAAGAGAAAAAACAACACAGAAATTTGTTCACAGTCTCTAGACTCAAGGAGTTGATCATCTAGCCAGGGAGAATTTTTTTTTTTTTTTTTTTTTTTTTTGAGATGAAGTTTTGCTCTTGTTGCCCAGGCTGGAGTGCAATGGCGCGATCTCAGCTCACTGCAACCTCTGCCTCCTGGGTTCAAGCCATTCTCCTGCCTCAGCCTCCTGAGTAGCTGGGATTACAGGCATGCGCCACCATGCCCGGCTACTTCTGTATTTTTAGTAGAGACGGAGTTTCTCTATGTTGGTCAGGCTGATCTCGAACTCCTGACCTCAGGTGATCTGCCTGCATTGGCCTCCCAAAGTTCTGGGATTACAGGTGTGAGCCACCACGCCTGGCCGAGATTTTTTTTTTTTTAATTATTAATTTTATAAGTTAAACATGTCGTAATAGAAAACTGGGAAAATATGAATCAGACAGACACACACACACACACACACACACACACACTAAAGTCAAGTGTATTCCTACTATCTCCAGATATAATAATCACCGTTTACATTTTCTATGTATCTTTTCAGTTTGTTTTCTGCAAGGATTTTTCCAAAAAGATGATCATACGGTATGTTCTGTTTTATAATCTGTTCCTTTTACTTAATATGTCATGAACATCATACACATATATAATTCTAAGCATTCTGTTATTACATCATTTTTCTTTTAACTTTTATGGGTACCTAGTA